CGCGTGGCCCCCTTCAACTAAGATAGCACCGCCGATTTTTTGAATACGATAGGTGCGAAATGTATATACATACCCGGTACTATGGTGTCACGAGAATCGAGGAAATCCCCGAGCAAGGGGGAATGCGGCTAATTCATGGGGGTGGAGGGGGTGAGGTTAGTCACTTGACATGCATGGAAGCTGGAATATGCGAGTTATTTTAGGCATCAGTCTCTACAAGGCATACATTTCGCGCCCACCGTATTCAAAAAATTGGTATGCCCGTCCTACTTGTATTGAACCTGGGAACTTTAACTCACCGAGACTAGAACTCCGTTTTGAAAATAGAAATAGAAGGCGTCCTCTCCAACATCGCGCTCAAGATTGAGGTGAACTTCCTTCAACTTGTCGCCTTCCATTGTTATTGTTATCTAAACAGGAAAATTTAGGATTAAACAATTATAATGTATCCCACTAGCATATCGTCTCAACTGAAGGGTGTGCCGTGGAAAAGGATTGAAGCCAGTGATTGCAATGATTTGATGGGTGTCAAATATGAAAGCGAAGGTGCCAAAAAGTGCAGCAGTGAGGAAGAGCACTGCCAAAAGCCTAAATGGTATCATTTTTCTACCCAGTGTGATTTTGACTGCGCTTTGGCATATTCAATATAGTGCGGGAGCCAACTATTGTACGAGCCAGGTTCTATGCTTTTTTGTCAGAAAGGGCAACCGCACCATTGTAGATGGAAGACTTGGTTGCCGTTGGCAGGGTTTGGTGGAGGTACGACTCTTGGTTTGTGCGCAATTCATAAACCACATCAGCAACAAATCCATAATATCGAATGCGTGGCGCAGAACAGATAAAGATTTTCCATGATGCGTCTCCCTTTTTCTCATAAAATTGCATGGATGCAAGCGATCATCTACTGCGATAGTGAACTATCATTCTGGCATTCATGCTCAATCCATGGGAAGCGCTTCAGGAGCATCGTTGCATTTCTTGTGATTGTGCATGATCAAAGGAGTCCTCTCCGGAAAAATCATGATTCTATCTCACCCATAAATCACTGGCTTGAGACCCATCGTCACGATAAGAACGAAAAGAACAAAAAATTGCATTTGTTTTGGTAAACAATTCGAAAAACCGGAAGGACTGCTACGTTCAAATGCCGCCGGACATCTGTCACAAATGCTGGCGGCGGGGGCGCTTTTACTTGGTTCACGGGAAGCTGGTAACTCTTTTTGGCCTTTCAGCGGAAAGGCTCCCAGGTCGCCATGGCCATTCAAGAAGAGATGTATACCACTAGATGTGCCTTTGAACGCTGATCTCAAATCTACCTTCCAAATCTGCTAAACGATTCTCTGAATGGAGTTATGAAGCAAAACAGCGCAACGGTAGTGGTCGGGACTCACAGTCAAAACGTCGTAGGATCGGTCCCTTATCGTGTTTACTGTTTTCCATTCTTCAGAAATACAGCTAAACGGCTTTTAATAGCCTATTAACTGAATTCCTGAAGAATGCAAAACAGTAATAACGATAAGGGACCGATCCTACGACATTTGACTGTGAGTCTCGAGCAGGGTCAACCGTTACGTTGGACCGATATTGGAGCGACGTTGGACCGATGTTGACCGCTCTCCGCGCCGGCATTCACTCTCGCCACCCGCGAGCCGTCTGTGTCTCCGTGCGTACGTTCACTCTCGGCATTACTCTCGTCGTCGCGTTGGACTTTGTCCAACGGACGGTTGACCCTGGTCTCGAGCACTTCGGTTGCGCTGTTTTCTTCATAACTCCATTCAGAGAATCGTTTAGCAGATTTGGAAGGTAGATTTGAGATCAGCGTTCGAAGGCACATCTAGTGGTATACATCTTTTCTTGAATGGCCATGGCGACCTGGGAGCCTTTCCAAGATCTACCACTTCTACTGCAACATATTCTATCAACTGTCTTTTCTCTCTACAAAATCGAACGTCCGGATTCTTCCTTTGCGTCGACTGGTACGTAGTTGCCCCAAGGCGCATTTCTTTCCATGCCTAGCCTTTGGCTGGCGTGACTTTCCTTCGATCGTCCATAGAGTGTGGTTTTCATGAGTTTGTTTCTCTTCGGAAACAGAATCTTCGTGCGTGAAACCTTGTATATTGCCCCTAATGACCACAACTGGCATTTATGTCGAGAAAGAATGCAAATGTCCCGTGTGGATGCAGACAAGCTCTGGTAGCTTCATCCATCGAAGCTGAGTTGGGGTGAAATGGTGCCCCGGTGGTGTAACTGGTAGCACAATTGCCCGGAAAGCAAGAGATCCGGGTACGAATCCCGGCTGGGGCGAAAGTTTTGCCCACAACTCAGCATTCTTGTGATAACTTTCGCAACGCGAACTGCGGCGTAAAACAGCAGTTTTCTGACAAAAACAAACCCCGGGAAGGATTCCTTCGAGGTCACATCCACCTGAAATATTATGTAATCCGACAGAATTGCCTAATTCTCTTACCGGACCAGAACTCTTGTTCACCTAATTTAACAGCTTTCAGTAAATTTTGACTTTCAGTAAATTAAATTCAGCAGCATATGTGAACTGTAGCATTTTCATGTAGCAAATTTGCCCGGCAAAAAGTCGGACCTACCGCGAGGTGCCCGCGGCGCGCGGCGATGGAAAGATAGCACTGCACGCAGGGTGAAAATCGCTTGAGGAAAAGACAACGGCTCGTCGAGGATTTCTTTCACGCTCTCCCACGCGGATGCTCACTCTCGCCACCCGCGAGCCGTCTGTGCTCTCCGCGCATTCATTCACTCTCGACACTACTCTCGCACAGTAGAGAGCCATGGTCGAGGAATTCCTCGACCGTTGCTTCACCCTGACTGCACATCTTCGGTGATCTCCGCAATAAGGGCTAACCCTCAAACCAAAAGAGGCCAGTGGTTCAAAAATGCACATCGCCTCTTGTCACGAGATGTAATTTCTAGAACACATCTGCGCAGCGAAAAACAAGAGGTAATATCGTCAAATCAAGCAGCTTACCTTGTGTTGCTTTCCATCGTAACCAGTATCCGTAAAGGTTTCGCCGAGATTGAAACGGTATTGCAAGTTCCTTGAGGGATCGGCAGTTGTATAGCTATAAAACACGATTACTAGGACAGGGTTTTATCAGTTAGATGAGCTTGATTTTTGATGTTAGTATTAAATACGTAATAACTGGTATGGATCACTGATACAAAGCGCATCCCACAGACGCCTTTGCAATAAAAGTCTGAACAAAAATTGTTCTATTGCAAACTAGAACTTTGCCAGTGGCTATGAAGTTATAATCTTCCGTCAGTCTTGTTTAAAACGTTTTCGAAGCAGCAAGTGCACTGCACTAAACCCGGAAGAAATGGAAAAGTGAGTGGGGTCGGGAAGCATGCAAGCACTTTGTTGGGTTGTCAGCTGCCCTTTTCTCGTTGCTCACAGCAAATAGTATTTTTGTTCCGCACTAATTCAGGAATGATACGGAGAGCAGCTCAAAGTACAGGGACGTGCAGAACGAAAATGATCGGCTGAGCAATCGTTTGTCCTTTGTGTTGACGTTGACTATGATTTTATTGGAATCAAACACTCTTCTCTTGGCGGTCAATGATGTTTGAAACACAGACAGACTTGTGATGGTGTTCTCTTCTAAGCTATCTCCTGGGACCAACCCCTACGGAGTTCATACCAATTACTTCAGGAACTAGAAGAAAGTTCAACCGTGTGGTTAGATGAAGAGAAGAAGCAGCTGATGATTCAAAAAGGCAAAAGGCAGCTCATTAAAGAATAAGGTAAAGGTGGCCAGTGGTGCAGGGATGGAAAAACCATGAGAAATGGCCCAGAACCCGAAAAATGGACCCCTTCTTTGCCGTTGATTTCCGCATTTGATGCGACTCTCATCGGTGCTGCCCTCTTCAACGCTAACGCTCTCTCTGCTAAACGGCTAGAGTCAGACGGTGAGAGGGTGGGCGGGCACCGGCTAGAGCGGTGCATGCGCCAGCCTTTCATTTGATATATTACACCTTTTCGACCTCCAACCTTATCGTGGATTCCATTTTATCTGCATCGAATTTGCAGCGGGCGGCACCTGTTGAAGGATGCTAAGTATCCAATCAGTTTGACTCATTAAAGCCATCGGTATCGGTAGTACGGTAAAATCACATGCCCAGGTAACGTACGGACATTTCAAAAACTATGCAATATGTGCAGAGGGGGAGTGGGGGCAGAAAAATGACAATTTCTTCGCAAGTCAAGGTATGGACGAAGTCTTACAGCTCCTAAAATGCCCCTCCATATGTAAAAACAAACCCTCCCTCACTGCCCTCACCGTCTTCAGAACATCATGTCATCCACGCCGTCGAGCTCAAGGAGACTCACAGTAATTGTACCAGGAGCTAGAGGTACTGGACAATTCTTTAGTCGCTTACTAGTGGATGCTTTATGGAGTTAGTAGCTCTGAGAAAGCAAGTCCGCTCCGGACCAACACTTCAGATGATGTCGTAATGGTCCGCGATCTACCGTAGCCTCGTTGAGCTTGAACAGTGTACCGTGTACCCCTAGAAAATGTTTCCGATAGTCGGTGTAGGGAGCTACTGTGAAATTTTTCCTAACAAGTGATATGTGCTCTTGAAGATTCATGGGAACGCTTGCTTTGAATTTAGCAAAGTGTGAATGCAACTCCATTTTTGCAACTACATTTTCCATTTTTGTGAGAAAATAAGTCCTCCCCCCTCTACCCTCCCTCTTCTATAATATTTATACTGATTATATTTTTTAGACTCGATATTTACACTCACATGTATCCTCCATCAGGATTCTGCTTCATGAGGAACTGGCCCTTGCGCAGCTTTCCAGATATCATTTTTCGGACTAGCCATGGAACACCTGAATAAGGACCTATTAACATTTTGGACTATAAAGTAAGGCCAATAATCAAGCATTTTTTCCGAAGCACTGAAACGCTATATAGTGACTTGAGGAGCTGCTATAGTTGATTAATGCGATAAGATTCCCCCGAGGATAATTAACAAGGGCTCGGAGCCTGGGCACCAATCGACGACTGAACTACGTAAGTGTTCACCCGCACGTTGGAGTGGATATGTGGACAGTGGCCTCTATACAAACATGTTTTGGATTGGGATAATTTAATATTTTATATCGAGACATCTAAAGATAAGACGAAGAGATAGTGGGCAGTAGCGCCGGTATCGCTAACATGGTCCTGGCATCGGAAAATTTGATTGAATCTCATCCACGCAACCTATCCTGTCACCCAAAAGTCGAATATATATTTATATTTATATTAATATGTATATATAATATAATTGTAGAAGACTTCCTCGGGGAAAGAATATAAACTTGGTAAGCAGTTGGCTCCATCAAATCATTCTGTCCCAAATAGGTCAGAAAACTGAGCGGGGTCGAAAGCGTGGCGCGTATCAGAAAGTAAGTAACCATAACCGTCATAGGTCACACAGGAGGTAATGAAGCTACGAGATAACGCTATCTACCGGGTGGGCCAAAATTATGAGGGCAGCGTGTGCGTGCGGTTATACCCACTTTTTTCGAAACGCTCCATTTCCATCTCCTTTTCTTTCTAGGTGCCCTCCTTTCATTGAAATCAAATATCGCACAATTCTCAAAGTTAAAGAAATAATGAAATGCGGAGATTCAAAGGATACAGTCGGAAGTAAGCAAAGCCCTTTTGGCGTTTCTGCTGGGGCCGTATGCTGAATGTTGGGAGGGGATGGGGTCCCCGACGGTCGACGGACTACTTCAACTCGGTCCTTAAAACCGCCTCAATTTTATGCTTACCGAGAGAGCGCAGGTCCGTCCTCTCTCCAAGGCTTAGTCCTGGGGTAAGCAAACCAGCCCTTTTGGCGGAGCTGCTGGACCTAGCTGCACCACTTCGTCATCACTCTCCTACCGTACCGACCGAGTTGAAGTAGTCCGTCGACCTCGGGGACCCCATCCCCTCCCCAACATTCAGCATACGGCCCCAGCAGAAACGCCAAAAGGGCTGGTTTGCTTACCTCGTACAGTTGCCATAAGGACAGTGACAGTTATCGATGCAGAAACTAGCTTCCCTTGTCGACTTTCGTACTCCCAAAATGAAAAAATTGATGTGAAAACCCAGCCAGACACTCTAAAGACTCCACATCTGTAGTGGATAGAAAGCCACACGAGTAGTCTACTTGGGACTTTTTACAGGACCGAGCACCCAAGAATAAAGCAAAAATCTCAAAAAGCGATTTTTCGAGTTCACTTGCTTTTGAAGAAATTGTTACCTGGGAACCGTTTACCTAATTTGTATGGGTAAGCTCCATGGTACACCCTGAGACAAGCGCTAAAGAAAACCCTACAGAACTTCGATCAGCCTGAAGAAGGCAGAGCAGAAGGCCTGGAAACATTTTGACACGCCTCAGTTGCGTGCCACCGCACGCGCCATCCCCTTCATCTGAAGGCTCGTGTAAACGCGGCAGGTGGCAGATCTCAATTCTATTCTGGAATTACTTTGAGATAAGAGTTACAAACACTTCCCTGAAGTTTGTTTGTTCCATCAAGCTACTATGCGTTTTTAACGACAATGTCTTTGGTCCTCATAATTTTGGCCCACCCTGTAGATGAAATTGTATTTTCAATTCTATTGCGTAGTCATATAAAGTTGAGAGCATGTGGCAAGAGGTACCTCTTACCAAGTGGCCAAGAATTCAAATCCAAACCGATTTTCTCTCAGGCCGACACAGCCTTTCATCAAATTGAGGTCTTCAAATTGCTGAGAGACTGGTCTGACCTGAGTTCATTCAAACCATTGTAGAGGCTCATTGACCACAAAGGGGAATTCAACGATAATTTGGGAGGTCGAAGAATGGGAAACGTACCTAGTCGGAAGGCGGAAAGAATGAGGGACAATGCGCATTCAGCAGCTAAGAGTATGTTCCCAGAGGCCTAGCAAGGCCATACCCGCGCCGCTCGCGCCATCGCTCGCCCACCCTCTCGCCGTCTGACTCTATCGGCAGAGCAAGCATTGGGTTGAAGAGGGCAGCACCGATGAGAGACGCTTCATTGCTAACCAACGGGCGAGGGAGAGGTCCCATTCTCCAGTCCTGGATCAATTCTCATGGTTTTCTTTTTTGAACCTGCACCACTGAACTACCGCTACCTTGATTTCTGATGGGTTAACTTGTCATCGTGAGTTCCGTATAAAGTGTCACCACGACTCTGAGCGAAGTTGTGTAGGATAGTGGCGTATCCTAGAGAATAATTAATAAAAATCGAATGCTACCGATGTAAATGACTGCTATGATAACCTTCCAAAGACCACTTTTAGTCTTTTTTCTCAAAACTCTTTCCAAATATCATCGGAATGTTTCTCCAATTGATTCCAATCACATTCAAGTGAAACTTGGTGTAAATAAAGAAAACCGTGCTGAAAATGAATGCACTAGATTAGTGTGCGTGAGAATAATGAACACGGTCTTTTAGACCACGTGGTCACGTCATTTCTGTTTTCTGCTTTCGCGTACTTTGAGAAAATTGTTCTCCATAAATTAGGTCACAAGACATGCAAGGACCAGGGAATTCAGGCGTGTCCCCTTGATCATAGCACAGCTCTGATCAACTTGTTTACACTTCATGCTCAAGGATCGCGATCACTGAAATATCTCAAACCAATAGCTCAGAAAGGAACGCAGCGTTCCCTCTGTGGCGCATAAGGAGTGATCAGCGATCAACGTACCATCTCGACACTTCTGAATTCATAATAGTGTAGCTCCATACGCAAAATACCCTCTGCTTCAGGAAACCAGAAGAGCGTCGGGTGCAGACCATACACCACAAGTGACGACGGCCTCCAAGTAAATCTGGTTACTAGTGGTTCATAGTGATAGCTGATAGTTGGTAAATGATAGTTGTAATTAGTGACAACTGATAGAATACAACTGCAACAGGCTAATCATTTCATTGGCAGAAAACATTACATTTTGTGAGGCCGTCGTCATTTGCGTATGGTCTGCACTTGACGCTTCTGGTTTTCCGAAGCAGAGCATACCTATGCTGGCGACATCGAGGATCTGTTCATAAAAACGTTACCGTGGACTGATGAGAGTCCGGAAAAAATCTCCAATATGCCCAGCACATTCATAAGATCCTCTCACTATGATCGGCTTATTCTGTCTGGGCCGATCTCTGTCTGTCTCTGTGCTCTGTCTGCTTTCAAGGAATGCAGTATTTCCTGGAGATCCACCTTAAGAAGCGGTGTAAGTTGGAGATGGTCAAGAGGCAAGTACAAAACAGAATCGTAGCAGGATAGGCGCTGCTTCCCCCAGTGACCAGGACATGCTCAGGAATCGACCGTGCCTAATGATAAAATTTCTGATCAGCTCTCAGAACAGCCCTGACGACGGGAAAAATTGGCAAAGCCATGTGCAGGGTTACGAGATCATCCTTGAGAAAAGTATTCGTGGTGGCGGGAGCGTCTACGAATGGGCAGTGCTTACTTAGAAAGCTTCATAACTCAGCTCTAGGATGGTATGAAAAGCGGAAAAAAAGTTGGAAAAAGGATGATCAATATCTGAGGTGTAGCACAGTTGAAGTGAGCGGACTGGGACTAAGCCGTGTGCCTTGAAGATTTCTCATAAATTGAGTTAGATTGGCGTTTAGGGGAACACTCCACAAGAAGTGCGTTGCTGGAATCCAGGGTTCAGACAATGGCGTATGTATGATTAGATCAGTTTCCGATCATCAAACATGGAATATGAATCACCTATCCCTTTGAAATGGAAGTTCCTTGTCCCTTGTCACTATTTGTAAATTTCCTATGGGGCTTGATTTAGTGTATTCCTCACCGTTCCACTGTCTTGGAACGTAGTTCTTTTTGATTAAGCCAGCTTATCATTTATTCAAGAATTCAGGCAGCTGACTAATAAGGAGGTCAAATTAAATTCAAAAAGGACACCTTTGCATGGTATAAGCTTTCTACTGTGAGCATTAACTAGTGCGGAGATGTTAAAGGAAGGACGATAAAGTGGGAGCGCATCGGGAAGCATATGCACCACACGAATCAGTTACTTGGCTGCCAGGGAAGCGAGGTGTGCGCTTTCACGACGAAAGGTGCGCTGGTTGCTGAGCAGGACTTCGAAAGCACTCCGCCCCCAAAAGCGATCCGCCCACTTTAGTTGGTGATTTGGACGAGCTGCGTTGCCAGCAGCGGCACAACTGGAGCAACTCGATTGGCATGGTGCACCAAACGCGTTGCGATGAACTCGTTCATACGTCCGCTTTCTGAGCTGTTACCTGTTCATGAGTGAAAACCAACGGCCAAAAAAGGGGGTCCCGTTTTGCGTTTTCTTGACGGATTTCTCCTTTTTTCGCTACTGGCGTACCACTGAGCACCACCAGTCTCCTAAACCCTTCTTGAACCTATCGTAATCACTGCCTTCAAGGTGGCGCCTGTTGGCTTACTGATGTCTAGCGCTCTGGTCGTATCAGATACCTACCCCAACACAACTTATAGACATAAATGGCTAAGCCAAGGTCCACACAGAAATTGCCACGACAACTGCCATGGGCGGAGTGGCCTTGTTAGCTCACGATTGAATTGACCGTCTCCACAAATGGCAAGAATATCAGAGAACAACTGACGAAGGTTGAAGGTGCCAGAACAGGTAAAACAATATTTGACGACACCTATTTCAGGGTACCTCATGTCCCGCCAAGGAAATAATAATTCAGTCATCTCGATCTTACTATCTACTTTCATCACCGAAGTGCTCTTGAACTATGTACCTTCAACTCACTCAGCTCACTACGTTACTTCAACCTCCTTCCTTCTCTTCCTTTCTACAACCGTTTACCCACCAACGTTCTCAGAAATTCGTCTAGCGGGCAAAATAAGCGACACAGCTGTTACCAAAAAAGTAAAAACTCTTTGATTCCCTCGAACTTCCTGAAAGCACCACCGGAACCCTTAGAAAAGCTTATTCTCACCCCATCCAAAACTGCACTGCTGAGCCCGTTCAAGAGCCCCCTTCAGCATGGGCGACATACATTACTTTACCCTGCTCGAAAATTCACTGAGATTACTGTGGCACAACACAAGGCATTCTTCCAAAAGTCGCACTTCTGTGTTTGTCAAAATTTTTCCTCCTCGGCTATATCCTCAGGATATTGGTAAAGGAATCTTCCACGGACCATGGACCAGTGGGCGGGACCGGAAGTTTTTGTGACGAAATGCATGGTAGGTACGGATCCACGTGTCGAACGCACGAACGTGAACAGGATTCACTTCAAACCTTCCCATGAACGTGGATCCGTACCTACCATGCATTTCGTCGCAAAACCACTTCCGGTCCATGGTCCGTGGAAGATTCCTTTAAGCACTTTTGAAAGCTGAGGAAGCACGATGACCTTTAAAAGTGCACATGGCTTTTTTAATCCACAGCCGCTCGGGTTTCCTATCGAATGGCATCAAAGCGTTGGTTTGCAGAGATAGGAAAGGTCACTGGTGGTAACGCCACTTGCAGCGCTATTGATTGATGTTTGTTGTTGACCAGTCTTCGGAGAAGTAAACAACAGTTTGATTTTCAGTTGGGAGGCGGCTAAGTTGTAAATTTGACGCCACTAGCTAGCGATTTTCTGAATATTTCCTTTATCCACCACAGGAAAAGGGCCCCTGGGTAAATCAAGTGGGTGAAATCAGCGCTGTGGCAGCATTTTATAACCATAATTCATCGGTAAATTTGAGCCGTAAAGTCTGTGAGCCAACATGGTAAAAGAATATTTGTGAAACAAGACCAAAAAATATTTCACGGAATTATCCATACAACATAGGGAACTGAATAAAGTGAATAAAATCGTTTGAGCAAAAAAATTGGTTCGAACCTCGTACGGCAAGAAAGTCGTCCAGGTGTTCTTCCTTCGCCTCGACAAAATGAGTGTTGAGAAACTCTTCAGGGATCATTCTGTAGCAGAGGTTATTGTACCAAGTTTTCTGAAGGATTTAGGCGTTCAGACCTTGCACAGCTTGAAGTATTGTTAGAAGCGGGAGAAAACCGGTAAAGAACGAGAGTAGCAGAAGGAACTGCTTTGACGATGACCGCAGCCTTATCCACTGGCCGTACGCTATCTGTACTACTGATAAAACCTGCCGTTCACTAAGTGATATGATGACATATCGAGTCGAAAACACTTGAAACAGAGAATTTTTATCGAAATATTTCTCTAGAATATGCAATACGATTGACTATTACAGTAAAAATTCAATCATTATCGTCATACTTGTAACGATTTCATGGGTAATGTAACTAAGTATTCTCAGAAAATTGAAATAAAACAACCTTTAGTCAAAAAGAAGACCTTGTAAAAAACATATGGATAAATTATGTCGTGGCAAATGCCTATGAAAGATCTGGTCTGACATTCTTAAAATATAATTATACTCATGGAATTTCCGTACAATTTTAAAATCACAATTAAAATTACGAACTAGGATTAAACGAGATATCATTCAACAGTATTGAACGTGTTAACAATTGCAGTGATGGCAGGAGTAAGACACTTCTGCTGATTTGATTTCGTACAGCAGTGAGCGTGGAGACAAAATGCGAAAGACTATTCAAAATGTGCCTTGAATCATGGTGAGTTCATTTTTATTTTTACATCGCGTCTCCTCGAATGCATCGGCGTGGATCCACGGATGTTCGTGTTGAAGAACTCGGGATTGAGCCATGCGTTGAAGTTCGCGCTCTCTGAAATACACTTTCAAAATTCGATAAATTTTTGTATACCCAAATCCTTGGACATTAAGTTGTTTTTCTTCACTCATTACTCGCTTTATTGTCAGGAACTATTCCTCTCGTTAATGAGCGGTCGCGACTGTATCACCAGAGGGGGAGAAGCTCAGTTCTCTTCTAGGTCAGGTCACCAGCGCTGTACTATCGTTGAAGCCTAGGGTTAAGTCTGAGGTCGGGCAAAGACTTAGGCTTATGCTTACACATTGATTTGTGCTTATGATTGGGCCTAGGCTTAGTCCTAAGCTTGCTTCGAGCAAATGAGTGGCGCCTCAATTTCAGGTGACCTGATCTGTGGAGGAAACTGCAACGCACTCCAGCAAAGATGGCACCAGCTTCGCGATCAAAAATGTATGGTAAGACCCTAAAGGATCACATGCACACTTCACTTAAATGTACATGCACCTTAACCGCTGCGAGTTTTGATGTCTGCGTCTCGCTCCTTCCCTGCACTTTCTCGCCTCAGTAGTGATTGTCCTTCAGAGAGTCTGCCTATGAGTTAAATTCGTCTACCGCTCTAAGAAAAATAGGTCGTTTCCAGTGTCTTGTGGTAGCTTCCCCTTTGTCCACTTCACACAGGAGTTGGTGGTATCGTGCACGGAAACTTGTTGCATTTTTAGTCAATCACTAGGTAACTAGCTAGCACTGGGTATATAGCCATGCATCGCAGGAAGGACATGATTTCAGCCTTCCGAAAAATGTGAGTAGAAAAAAAAACGTTTCAGCGCGATAAAATAGCATGAATGGAAGAATGAAATATTTGTGCCACAGGTGAGGAAGCTAAAATTTTCTGGTGACGGTGCTGTCAGGAAAACGATTAGAAGCATCCTTGCAGTCAACATTTGTGAGAGTTTATTAGTTCTTGTTCACCGTCTATTGTGGGAGAAGAAATCGTGCGGGTTCCGTGCACGATTTTTTTTCATTCAGTAAGAATTTATCCTTGTTTGAACCTCATTTGCTTATGCTATCGTGGATGTTCCTTGAAGCAGAATCTCTGATTAGACGACACTGTTGCGCCCTCATTTCACATTTCAGACTCACGGTGGCACTCGAACTCGTATTGTCCTACATACACAATAACGGAATAGCTCTCATTAGCAAATAGCGCCTAAACTTCACGAGACATGTTTGGAGCTCTTCTCAGCCGTGTTTCTGTGAACGCAAAGAGTGGACATGAAATCGAACAAGACCTCTTCCACCTCTTCCTTGAACCACTACCGCTGTTCTATCTTGTTTCATAAGTACGTTCAGATCAATTTTCAAGTTTTGAAACGAGTTGAAATAGAGCGAGTGTCCGAAAATACAACCCTTGGCATATGTCTCATTACATGTGACCCCTTCGGTCTATGATCCTTAACTGGTCAGTATTTTCTCATTTCTCACCAATAAACAATGCGATACAATATCACTGACATTTTGATTAATGAAAGAAACAATGCGGAACTAACCTGAATTCTACCCAAGCGGGTTTATTAGCCTGCCGATAAAAACACACTCCAATCATCACAATCCACACCAGCAAAGAGGCAAATGACCACACGACAAGTAGATGTTCTATACCGGACCAAGAGCACTTACGCTGAGACTGAAACAGATGAAAATGAAGTGCGACAGTTCTACGTGATTGTTTGACCTGTTTTCAAGCCACGCTTTTTC